AAATTTATTCTGGATGTAAAGTCATGCAACAATTGTAAGGTCAAAAACGGAGAATTAAAATGAAGTAGTTGTATAAACATTAAACTACAAAAAATCCTATGCAATCGTTCTTACTGATGACTGATTTAACATCTCAAGTTCAACCAACGGCAAATAGTCAAAATTCCCCCGCGACGGTCTACCTCATCGTGGCGCGGGGTGACTCTGGGTGTCGAACTATGAAGCACAGTGGAGGTTTACCCTCCAACAGGATCTTCCAAGCTGAGAAAGAGATAGACGTTTCCGGCTCTCCGGATGCCCAGCTAAGAGTAGGCCATGCCAAAAGCATCACCGTCTGGCTGATTCAGTCGCTAGATGATTCCCCAGTCCACATAAGGCTAGCGATTACCTGTGGTGAAAGCTTGGCAGGCCCTGGAAAGGCTCTGCTAATGTTTGGGAAAAAGTTTTTTTTTATTGCCCGCACAGCATGTAGGAGAAAAAGAAGCCTTGCACACTAGATTACATCTACCCCGTGTCTTGAACAGAACGCCATGGATTTTGGTCCAAAAGAGCTCGTCAACCACTCGCCATGGAAATTGTCTCATGCTCTGCACCTACAACGCCAGGACAGTCTCCACCAACGCCAATCTCTACGCCCTTCTCGAAGCTGCAGGGCGCATCGACTACCACGTAATCGCCTTGCAGGAAATAAAGTCCAGGAAGACGGACGTGAGGCAGATGTGATGATGTGATGGTACACTCATCATTCGTGAAGTTTCCATCAAGGAACATTGGAGGCGTTGGTTTATCGTACCCACATCTGTTCTCCATCTTGTCGATTCGCATGAGATCCTATCACCTCGCCTGGCTATCCTACAATTCCGTCTCCAACATCAGCAGCGTGGTGCGGACTAGATGCTTTTTACGAAGATTTGGGGGAAGTCATTCGCAAAGAAAACTCCTTCTATAAGTTCGTCATGGGTGACTTCTATGCGAAAATTGGGATGTCAGAAGAAGGGGAACACTTTGAATCAGGACTCCGAAATGAGAATGGTAACCGTGTTGTTGAGTCTTGTTGTCTATCACCCACTGCATGATTTTCTCATGGCAGCCCATTTTCATGAAGAAAGGGCACCTCTGGACATGGGAGTCATGGGAGTCACGCAACGGTACGACTCATGCAGAGACCGCATTCTCACCAACCGAAGGTGGTGCTTAGTGTATCATCCTTCAGCAGTGGTTCAGATCACCACCTCCTTCGAGCAAAAGTGCGATTTAGCCGAATGCTGAAAAGAAGATCGGTCACCGGGTAGGAGGAAGGAGAGAAGTCGTGTATGACGGCTTCAGATTGGAGGGGCTCCTGACCATTCGTGACTAGCCCATCAAGGAGGACCTAACAAAGGACTACGACTTGCTTCTCAGGACTAAGGGCCTGTGGAGAAAGTGTCTCTATGGCTCGAACAAGGAACTTGCAACGAATATCGAAAACCACCAAGAATCTGCTAGAGAGAAGGAGAGCATGAGGCTGGATTCGACTGCATCACATCTCGAGCGATAGCCAATACCAGTTGCAGAACACCTTTTCAAGAAGATCTTCGAAAGTACAGGTTATCGAAACTTTTTGAAGCAACACAAGGAAGGGAAACTCTAGGGAAGTACCGCAGTGGCCTTCTCGACTATCGTGTTCCGCTGATAACAATACAACATGAAGACAGGACTTACACATCTTCCCGCCAAAGAATCGATCACGAAGAGATCCTTCAATCTCTTTCTCATCTTTCATCTTCCATCTTTCCCTCGTCAACACCCGTGTCAAACCCCGTTATTCCCTCTGGAATAATACCACCACGGATTCTACCTGCTAAAGTACGCGCCGTAATCTAGGTCATAAAGGCAGCGACGGTTCGGACAAGACCACGTTTCGGCCGACTTCTACGAAATGGAGGACATCGCTTACACGAGATACTTGTGGCACATCTAGCGTCCAGTATGCCTGCTGAGCGTACTTTACAAGCCCTTTACGAAAGTTTCGGCTTGCATATAAAGGATACTGGATGAAGCCCAACTTGTAGACCAAGCTGGATTCCGCCAGGGATTCAGCTGCGTAAAACAAACCCAGACAGTTTAGAGGATTATCGAGGTTTGCCGAGAGTACCACTCACCTCTTGTCCTAACCTTCGCTGGCTATGAGAAAGCGTTTGACAGCGGATGGGACTAATGCCATACTGTC